CCCGCATCTTGCGGAATACCTAACTTTAATGGGAAGTCTTCTTCTAATGTTTCCTTGATATTATAATGCTTGGTATAGTATTGTCTTGGTAATCTGATTAAAATTCCTCTAATATCTCAGTATGATAAGTTTTTCTTTTCTTAAAAAAATCATGAATTGATCTGGAGGAGTAGCTTATTCTGTAGAACACTTGTTTAGCATGCATAAGGCCCTAGATTTGATCCTCAGCACTGTTAAAAACAAAAACAAAACACACACACAAACAAAACAAAACAAAACAAAACAAAACAAAAACAACTTTCAGGCTAATTAAACTAGGTACTGTGGTGCTGTTCTGTAGTCCCAGCTACTTGGGAATCTCCAAGTAGGAGGATTACTGGTTTGAGTACAGCCTAGGCAATTTAGCAAGATCTTGTCTCAAAACAAAATAGAAAGGAAATTTTCAGTTAGAAATATGGCTCAGTGAAGGTGCTTGCCTAACATGCGCCAGACCCCAGGTTCACGCTGTTCACGCTCTAGTTCTAGGGAAAAAAATCATGAATGGGTAGTTCAAAATATCAAATGTCTTTCCTCTTTTATACTCATTACTTTATTTCTTAATCTGTTAATATGGTGAATTTCATTGATAGGTTTCCTTATTATTAGTAGTAGTTTTTGTATTTGTTTCTTTCATTTGAAATTCAGGTATAGAACTGAATGAATAATTCTTCTCAATGGATAATACTCTATCATCATTGATCCTTGGCCTGCTATTGTACTATATTTTTATTTTTACTATCTATATTCGATTCCCTGTCTCTTAAATTCAAAAGCTTTTACTTTAACACATTTGTTATATATTCTGGTAAAATAATTTGTATGTCTGTGTGTGTGTGTGTAAAATATACATAAGTTTTGTGTATAATATAAAAAAGTTGTTTTTACAGATCTTACTTTGTTTCCTGCTTTTTAATGGAGCACTATATTTTTAATATCTATTTTATTATGGTATACACATCTACTGTATTGTTTCTAACTGGATTATAATATTTCAAATTAAGCATCCATTGTATTTACTTTTCTATTCTAGTGATTGACACCTAAAGTTGCTTTCAAATTTCTGTAACTACAAAATTACACTATCATAAATATCCTCATGTAAAGTTGGCTTTTGATTTGTGTGCTGGTTTCTCTGATACTTATGTCTGAGTATGTGATTGTTGGGAGGCCAAGGTAGGGTGTATGTTGAATTCATTAAATACCACTATTTTTTTCCCATAATGTTGTTTCAGTTATACTTCTGACAATAGAAGATAAGAATCATTATTTTTTCATTTTCTCACCTCCAGTTGGTATTATTTGTATTTTAATTTTTATCAACCTGATGAATGTTAAGGTATTATTGCAATTGATGTTTCCTCTAATTAATAGTGCATTTCCTTTGTTTCTACAGTTATTTGCCATTGGGCTTTTGCTGTGGTTTAAATATGGTTTGCCTTCTTTGAAACCTAAGTTGAAATTTGCCACTATGGTGGTGTTGGTAGGTGGGATCTTTAAGAGGTGATTAGATCATTAAGAGGGATCAATTCCTTTCTTACCAGAGTGGTTATCACTCTTTCAGGTCTGGATTAGTTATTGTGAGAGTGGGTAGTCATAAATAAGGATGTCCTCATGTTTTATTTCTTCCACATACAACCTCTTTCTCTTCTGTTTTCTATCTATCTGTATTACTGTCAAGAGTTGAGGCAGCCTGAAACCTCAGTAGATGTGGCTGCCTAATTTTTGGACTATGAGTCAAAATAAACCTTTATCTTTATTATAAATTTCTCAGCCTCAGGTATTCTGTTATAGCTAAGATTTACTAATCTTCTTCAAAATTAGATCAATGTTTATAAACCTTTATTTCATATTATTTAGATTATTAGATAATTTAGTTATGTAGCAATAGATAACTAATTATGCCATGACTTAGTGGTTTAAAACAACATGTATTATCTCTCAACTTTTGTGAGTCAGGAATTCAGAAGCACCTTAGCTTCCTTGTGCTGAGTTGAGGTCTCTCATGTGATTGCAGTAAAGATGTCAGTTGGGTCTACAGTCATTTGATGGCCTGACTGGAGCTGGAAGATCCTTCTCCAAGATGCTCACTCACATGCCTGGCAAAATGACACTGGCCATTGCAGTGTCATCACTTCTTACCACATGAATCTTTTGATAGAGAAACTAGTATTCTCACAACATGGCAGCTGACATTTCCTAGAGTAAGTGAGTAAGGTAGAGGCTGCAATGCCATTTATAACCTAGCCTTGGAAATCACACTCCAACATTCCTGAAATAACCTAGTTGTACAAATAATCTTACCTAACTGTGGTAGAGGACTATATAAGTAAGTAAGTGTGATTGGGGGGCCCTCTTGGAGGCTGGTTATCTCAGTCAGTCCTCTGGCTACCAGTGATTACTGTCTCTCCCACATATATAATCTACTTATACTTCTAACAAGGCTTCCCAAAGTTTCATTCCATTATAGCATTAGATTGAAGTAAAGATTCTCATATAAATTATGTTTAGGGGCAGATGAGGCTCCTTGGGTGTAATTTCTCAAGTAAAGTTCTACTTGATCTGAAGACCTGTGAACTGAGAATAAGGTTCATACAATGGTATATATACCAGGAGGCAAGAGTCATGGGGGTATAACTTGAAGGATGCTACCACATTTCTTACAAGACAGGTCTTCCAGAGAAAAATTTCCTTGATTGTTTTTCTAAGAAATTTTCTATTTCTCTTTTACTTTTGAAGAACAATTTTTCTGGGGACAGAATTTGGTGGTGGTTTTTCTTTCAACCATTAAAAAAATTTATTGGTACTGGAGATTAAACACAGGGGTGCTTTACCACTGAACTACATCCCCATTCCTTTTTATTTTTTATTTTGAGATAAGGTCTCACTAAATCACTGAGAGTATCCAAGTTGCTGAAGCTGGCCTCTAGTTTTAAATCTTCCTGCTTCAGCCCTCGGTATCACTGGAATTACAGGCAGATGCCACAACACTGGGCTGTCTTTCAGCATTTTAAGAGTTCACTTCAATATCATGTGCATATACAAATATATAACAACGAATCCATCATTATGTACAACTATAATGTACCAATTAAAAAATGTGGGAAAAATGTCTACTTCATTCTCTTTTTGCTTCCATGGTTCCTGAAGAGAGTCTGATGTAATTCTTGTCCTTATTTTTCTATAGGTAATATTTTTTTATTTTATATTTTTTCAAGACCTTGTCTTTATCTTTACTTTCTCAAGTTTTAATGTGATATACCTATTTATAGTTCTTTATTGTGCTTGGTGTTCTTTGAGTTTCTTGGATCCATGGTTTAATGTCTTTCATTCACTTGGGAAAATTTTTAGGTATTATTACTTTAAATATTTATTCTGTTCCTTTCTTCTTCTTATTCCCATTTCATGTATGCTATACATTTTTGTAATCATTCCACAGTTCCTGAAAATTCTGTTCAGTTTGTTTTTTTCTCCTTTTTTTCAG